ATACAGAATAAATAAATAAATAAAAATAAATAAATAAATAAAAATAAATAAATAAAAATCTTCTTGTCCATCCTTCCTAGCATACCTCTTAGGAGTTTCCTAAAGTCCTCCCACTCTTGCTCTTTTCTGGCCTTCACTTTAGTTCCCTTTCAATTCCTCTCTTTCAGTCCACTGCTGACTTCACATCTTTTCTTTATTCTCCTTGTTATCAGATCTCCTTGTTTTAATGTCTCAGAGTCTCACCTCAATCAACTGGTCTTTCCTTGTCCAGAGATAATAAGTCTTTTCTTTTTTTTAAAAAAAAGTCTTGGCTATAAACAATCCTGCCCTCAGAGCAATTCAATATTCCAGACAATTGCAGCATATGTATTAAAAGCATCAATAGCACAACACGCAATACATTGTGTAATCTGTAAGTCCTTCAGATAGCTTTAATAACTGCTTATTTCAGTGAATCTAGATCCTATTTTTCACAATTAAGAAGAGGAAAAATCAGTTCTCATCTTTCGATTCTATTTCTTAAATTTTCTTATCAATATTTTGGTTTTAGAGCAATTCGAATATTATATAGCTATTTTACAATTAGGTTTTAAAAATTATTTAAAAATTGAAAATAGCACAACACATTCAAATATATATACTCAAATAAGAACTAAATTCATTAACCCAAAACAAAGTGTTGATAGTAAGAACAATTTAAAATAAGAAATAATAAGAAAACTGGGCACATGCAATATTACATGTGGCCATTTCTATTTTGTAGCTACTATATTAGCAAAATGGTGATCTTAACTGTTCTTGCCAACTTCATTGGTCTATTTAACAGATATATGAGCAAGATCTTCATTGTGGCCTTTAGTCCTAGGGCCCTAGGCCATTTAGTATATGTATAAGCAGTGTTTCAAATAATTGTCATTTCAAGTTATGCTTTTCAAGGCCATGCTCCAATTACAAAAAGATGAAAATAAAAACTCCCTTATTTACAGGTACTGTCCACTTTATTCCTAAATGGAAAACTTTTCCTAAAGGCAAAAGTAATAAGCCATGTATTGTGCTGTCCATCAGCAACTGGTGCTGATTTACCCAAGTAATAACCAAGGAGTATGGCTCAGGCACAGTTTTGCCCTATAGCTGACTTCCATTTTGCAGCTCAAACTGGAGTTCCTGCCAACACCAACCAAAAAATAATCATGCAAGATGGATGTCTTTTAGATAATATAATCCCCAGCAGAGCTTCTTCATGTGATAAATTCCCTCTCAGCAAAAGTATGATGATCAGCCTTCTTTTTTCCTCACAGACCAGGCCATGGCATTTTGGTGGTGCCAAATGAAACCCAGGCATTTAAATATCTTATGCACTTGCCTTGCGCCTCTTGAGATTCGTTGTTTTTCCAATAGCCATCTAATTAAAAGTTATTTTATTAGTTACCTTGTAATAAAGAAACATCTTGCCTTTCTTGGATTGTTACACCAGAGAATGAACAGGAGAGATGTACTGTTTACATTATTCCTGTTTCAATCTAGTAATTATCCCTCAGGGCTTAGGAATAATAAAAAGCAGCATTAGAGACATTTTTAGTTTGACAAGTTTTAACTGTCATGTACAGGCTAAGCTACACATTGCTGAATGTTAAATTATGGGATGGTTTCTTTTGTTCTAATTGTGTGTGTTCTGTGAAACGCACTCCTGTGCTTTTTAACCATGATTTATCATTTCACAAGTTAGATAAGCCCATCATAATATGCTTTAATCAGTAAACCACTATTAAAGAAATCACAACTTAACAAAATGTGTTAACCCAGACAGGCCTATAATCTCAACAGTACAATTCCATAGAAGATTCCCTCTCCCATTTGGACATTACAATTACCATGGGTATGGCCAAGAGAGGCCAAACATGTCTCTAGCAGATTTAAAAATGATGTGAAATTGGTCCCAAAAAGTTATTGAATGAAAGCAGGGCTTAAAATGGACTAGGTGACCTACAAGATCCCTTCCAACTCTTGTTATTTCTGTTAAAACGCAGAGCTCCACTACACGGATTTTTAAAGAAGTGCTAATGGTCACTTGACGATGGACCTCAAAAGGCTGTTGTAAGCTTGAATAAGATCACGAGCGTCAAAATATACAGCACATATACGGAATCCACATATATTCTTGCGTTCAGAAGTTGATTTCTCCAGGAGAAAGGAACTCCAGCCCAATAAATTATTCCGGTCCTTTTCTTTTGCAGACCGGGTTGGAGAGCTGCTACTGCTGCTGCTGCTGCAGCGAGAATACCTGCACTGTGGCCAAACTGAGCATATGCGCGCCCATAGAGCATGGCTTGGCCCCCGCAAACATACGCGGGGTTGGCGCTGCAGGCGACCACCCGCTCCAGGGAATTCGCTAAAGCCGCCCAGGGGCGCAAGACCCCCCATCCAGCCCTCTCCTTTCAGATCGAGCTTCGGGGGATCCCCTGCCAAGAGGCGAATAAACCGGCCCTTTCCCTCCCCGGCCGGATCTCCCGGGGACCCTCCCGCGCCGATCCCGGGCACTTACTTTTCCACCGGGCCCTCTTCTCCGCGGGAGGGCGGAGGGAACGGCTGACCGAGCCAACCAACCAACCTATCCTGCCTACCTTCCTCCGCCTCCGCGCGCGCGCCTCAACCCCGCCGCTGTTCTCCGTCCCCACAGGCGCTCCGCTCGCAGCCGCCGACAATCCAAGCCAACCCAGTTCAGCTCTCGATGCGGAGGACCTGCCTCTTTTCAACCTGTCCAATCCCGACACCGATTGCCATAGGGAGGGGAATGACAAAAGGGGAGGGTAAGTGAGCAACCAACCCGAGGGAACATCTCAGCCTTTTGGAACTTAGCCAAGAGTTTCACCAATAAGAAAAAAAGAGAAGCAGCCGCAAAAGTCCCGCCCTCCAAGCATTGACCACTTGATAGCTAAGCCAATCCGAAGCCAGAGAAGGAAAACGTGTCAATCCCCCCCCCTTTCAGCCGCACAATGTCCCACGGGCAGGAATTGGCGCATGCGTACGTGTATCTACCCAATAGCCTATTTTATTCCAGCGCGCATCACGATTTCTCAGTCTCGCGCGTCAACAATTGCTCGTGCGCTACCCGGTCCTCTTTTTTTTTTCCGCCCGGGCGTACGCAATCTCCGTGCGTTGCTATGGTGATGAGGAAGCTTGCGCCTGCGGCCTTCTGAGCTTCATCTCTCGTCCGAGTGGCTTATTTTTTTTAGTCCTCTCCTGAAATTAGTCCTCATTTTCCTTCTTGGAGATATACATCTTTCTTCTATCAAAATAAACGCCGCAGTGTTGAGACGGCTTTATCTCTGTTGCCATATATGACTAATTCCCTGCAACTAACAAAGCTATTCGGAGTCCAGAGAGATGAGTGATAAAGTCCAGAAGTCAAGGTCTCAGATGTGTGTCGCATCCTGATTTTGTGTCCTCAATAAATGTGAATAATAAACTTCAGTAATCCCTTTGTTCAAATGTCAGTTGAAATCTTATCTCGCCCACCCCTCTTTATAATTAGGAAGTTGCAGAAGCCATTTGTATTTATTTGTATTTTTGTATTTTATTGGTCTTGTATGCCGCCCACTCCCAAAGGACTCCGGGCGGCTTACAATAAACAAGGGAAGGNATTGCTATTGCTATTGCTGCTATTGCTATTGCTATTGCTACTGCTATTGCTCTAAGTCTACTGCTATTGCTATTGCTAAGTCTACTGCTATTGCTATTGCTATTGCTATTGCTGCTATTGCTATTGCTATTGCTACTGCTATTGCTATTGCTATTGCTTGTTGTTGTTTACAAAGACCTAGTAAACTAGCTACCTGATTTAGGAGCACATCTAAGCAATTTGTGGCATTACTGCAGCTTAACAACTTTTAATAACTTGATTTAGGGAGAGCAGCTGTGGCAGATTAGTCAAATGCAAAAACAGCCTGATGCAAGAACTATTAAAAAATATGGATATCACATTGGTATAATAATCCAAGAACCTGATTTTCAAGCAGAATTCTTTTTTTTTTTTTTAAAAAAAAAGCTTGGACTTCTGTTTTCTAGCAAAGACAAAAACAGATTCAAATTTGACTCACGAAAGTATTAAAGTTAATGTGACTTAGGAAGAGAAGCATATAGCAAAGATATGAGTAATACTGAAAATAATATTATTATGCAGTAACATTTTGCAGAAAAGATGTAAAGATGTATTTTCTTAAATCAATTTTCCCCATTTTTCTGATATATTCCAAAAGTTCTGGGTCAGAACTTTGGGGGTCATTGTTCAACAGCTTAAGAGATATTGAACTAAGGAAGGCCTTCGAAACCATCAGAAGTTCACAAATACCATTAATTATAACAGTACCTTAGCACTGCCGCTATGCATTGTTAAAACCTAGATTCTTGATAATAACTTCTCTGAGCATAACAAGCTGTATCATTCTGCACCTGAATGAATCACCTGAATGAATCAAGTCTCCCCAATTAAGAGCAAATTTTATGTAATCTTTGGGATGATCTCCTCTACAAACATTGTCTTCTATCAATCTCTAGTTGTAAATTGCTTTCCTGAGCATGCTGGAAGATAAAAGGATGGTGGTCCAGTGTTAGGAAACTGACCTCCCATTGATGGACATATCTAGGGGAAAGCAGAGATTGTTTCCTACTGAGGATGAAACCTTACAGAAGCTAGTTCTCCCTGGGAGCTGGTTCTCTATGACTTATTGCTGCTGCTGCTTTTTCCTATCACTGTAACAGTCAACAAGAGCCAACAATTCTACACATGAGATTCTTGCCAAGTGTGTAGGATTTAATATTTCTTGGAGAAGAAATCTCGTGATGCTTATGTTGTTCTCACAAATTAGTCCTACATGATGAAAGATCATCAGGGCCAGCTTTATCGATCAGTTGTACAACACTGCTTACATGACTGCACTAAAGCACATTGATTGGATACTTTTAATTTCAATTTCTGTTGCCCAATGCACGATTAGAATCGATTCAACTAATTCTCTGCATTCATTTGCCAAGTTTTAAAACTGCATCCTGAAAAACCCAAGTACAATACAAACTAGGGGTGGGTTGCTGCCTGCGTTCTTGCTGGCTCGCTGCGCGCATGCGCAGTTGACTATAAATTGTTTTGTGCATGTGCAGAACATTAAAAAATTAAACTTAAAAAAGTTTTGCCCGAACCTCTGCAAACTAGTAGGAATCCACCTCTGATACAAACATATGAAATCATCTCTCCATCTGCTTTAGAATACATTTGGTGTTGTATTTCTGAAATGGAAAAGTGTGCTATTAATTAGAGATCCTGTATTTCTCAACAGCACTGCAGTAATTTATTCCAATGTATCAAATTGAATTTGAATCTAGAAAATTTGGTTCCTAAATTGAGGTCAAGTCAAAAAGGAAACTTTTTTTTTNAATAGGTCCGAACCGGCTGAATCTCATCACTGGTCTTAAACTTCTAATCCAGATTGGAAATAATATCACCATCGCTGCTATCATCATGTCTCAAGGGCATTTCACGATGGTGTTTTCTGACCAATGGCGTTAGTTTTATGTCGCTTCATAATCAGGGCATAAGGCTTACATGTTAAATAAAGCAAGTAGCAAATATGTGGAGCTACAATCAATTCCCAGATTTTTATTTATTTATTTATTTTTGCATGGGACATCTTGGCTGGGACAGCTCAAAGTTGAAGATCCCTATTCTTCCACTGACAGGATTTATTTGAGAGAAGGAACCTGAGTGGTTAATTAAGATACTATGACACCCAAGTTGGGCTGCAAGAATGCCACATCCTCATCGTTTGGCTGTCATCTTCTAAACAGAAGAGCAAAAATATATAGAGGAAGAAAGCACATTGCTGAACTTTCCTGAAGGGTTTTTTGAAAAGATTGTGCTTTGTTTCAACCTGCAGATAGCACTACACAATTCACAGCTTGGTTGGCAATATATATGTCCTGCTTTGGTGACACACCTATCTAACACCATTTCCTGGTTTGAATCCCACTGTCTATAAAAGGGTTGATAGTCATAATTTTTACTGAGTGGCGTAAAATATAGAGACCCAGAGAGAGAGAAAATTATTATACTTGATCTAATGACGACTAAGTGGGAAATGTGAAAAGAGCATCCTCAAATGCCTTTTCTCAACATCCTACTTAAGCAGATAACTATCATTCAGAATCAGTTGTATATATAGTAAATATGTTTATATTATATAGGGAGATAAGACAGTATGTCACCCATATAGATGGTTTGCAACAGAACAGGCTATAATGCTGGACGCAAGAGGTCAATCTGGCACTATCATTTTTTAGTACCATGTCTCAACAATGTTGGAAAGAAAAACATTTTGTAAAATCCTAGAGCCAAGGTGGCGCAGTGGTTAAATGCAGCACTGCAGGCTACTGCTAGATCAGCAGGTCAGCGTTT